CCTATCTCGTCGCAATTTCTTTTGAATAGTAGGTCCGAAAATTCAATTGTCCAAGCGTTTTTAGACCATTGTTTCCTTCACAACAATTGCAGTTGTTCAAAATATCGCGGATGAAGAGTGGAAATGGGAAAATATAACATCAGCGGAAAAAGAAAGAGAAGTCTCTTCTTTTACCTGGCCTGATCGATACCGCCTGATTTCCACTTATTTTGGTCGCTCCCTACTTCTCAACGGAAAACGGGGAAGAAGGAGGAGGAGGAGGAGGAAAGAAACCAAAGGCGGCCCCGACATTTTCCATCTTACCTAGCCTTCTTTTCTCTCACTGTTCAACGACCCAATCCATCGCGCGAGCTCTCTCTGTTCCGCGCTCACAAACCTGTCTTTCGCTCTCGTTCTCTCCTCCAATGTTTCAATCAATGTCAGCCCCCAAGTTCCGTCCTGTGGTTACTTTAGTGGAAGAGCAACAGTTGGAATATCTAATCATCATAACGTAATCGATAAGCGAGCGAGCCACATAAGCAAGCGAGCCACTTCCCACCTGCCATACAACAAGAATGCTCTTCAAGTCCTGAATACAACCCAAAATTAACAAACTGATATTATCAATTATTTCCTGTACGCTTAGAGCATGTACGGGCAGTATGCCCAATAATCCCACATACACTACACTGTGGTGCTGCACGTCTTCGTGGTTGGGACTCAGCAGCCTCAACCACCCCTCTTTCCCATTCATTCATGCTTCGTACGCGATCCAAGCCTTCTTCCACCCCCAAAGCTCCCTCTTGGGCTACATATGTACGGCCTCTTTCTCGCTTTCTCTTTTGTTTAGCATTTGTAGCCCTTAACTCCCTATTTTCAGCTGCTAGAATAGCAGCACTATGCATTGCCATTTGACATCCCTTGACCAGCTGATTTAGGGCACGATCAGTTGGGCTGGGTGGGCTCTGCGTACGGTGCTTAATATATCCTTTAACTTTCTTAGTCTGCTGCTCTAGCTGGTGTATATTATGTGGTGTAGCAGTGGCCCAGGAGGCCTGAGAGCTATGAGAGGTCCCAGGTGGTGTGGGGGTATGCATTGTGGTATTAAGGCGCGAGAGAACCTGCTCAGGATTGTATGGAACCAGCCCAGCTGCCCTGAAACTGCTCTTGATGTTGTTCTCAGTCAGAGCCTGCATCTGAGCTGCAGGATATAGGGCCAGAAACTCCTCCTTGTCAATATGATTGATCCCAAGCCGCATCTGATTCTCCACCTGTCGTCCATATGCAGTCTTCAAGGGGGAGAAGCACCCAACATCCAGTGGCTGAAGAAGATGAGAGGAATGTGGTGGCATGTAGAGAGCAATGATCTGATTCTCAGAGCAGAATTGATCAAATTCAGCTGAGGCATGGCTTCGGTGCCAGTCTAGAATCAGCAGTCGGTATCTGCCCTTTGTACGGGGTAGAGTCTCCTTGTTGAACACCTCTTTCAGCCAGTACAAGCCCAGCTGGTCAGTGGTCCAGCCATTCTCACTGACTCCAATCACCCAGTCATGCGGCAGCCCTTCAGTCTCATACCAAGAGGACTGATGCATCTTTCCCTTGAGGATAATCATTGTACGGAGAGCCCAGCCCATTGCATTGACCCCAGCAATAACAGTCACCCATTCCCGATCTCCAGGCTGTACAAGCTTGGGATTCCTAGCTCTTTCAGATCCAGTCACCACTCTGACAGTCCCAATAACCCCCATCTGAAAGCCTGTCTCATCAAAGTTGTAGATATCCTCTTCCAGAATCCCATACTTTGCAATGGTGTTTTGTACAAGCTTAAACCACCCACGGATAACCTCAGGATCCTCACATAGTGCACGTTGATGGTCGTACTTGCGGGAGAACTTGGATTTCAGCTCTTCATAGCGATTGACAAAGTTTCGTACCCAGCATTCACCCACTGTGGGTGAGGGGTTGATTCCTCGACTGGCAAGAAGGAGATTGGCCATTTCTCGTACAGCTGCAACCCGGGGTGGCTGACCTCGCTCATCCATGGCTAGAATCCATTGAACAAGTGATTCTTCTTCTGTAAGGCTAAGTTTTCGGTTCTTTGGGGGAATGTCCACGCGTGCTGTACGACCAGAGACACGGTGAGTGAGGGTTGAGCGAGGGACATCATACAGCTTTGCTGCAGCTCGTATGCTTGAAATTTGATCATTTTTAAGTGCTTGAATGGCTAAAAGAAGCCTTCCTTCTTGAGCAGAGACTTTATTTCTTTGAGTGGTTGACATTTTTGTTGAAAAGCATTCTTGTTGTATGGCAGGTGGGAAGTGGCTCGCTTGCTTATGTGGCTCGCTCGCTTATCGATTAACTACGTTAATAACTAGTGTAAGATAATAACAAATAATATTAACAATGCAGGTGATAGCAAAGCCAGCCCACAGCACAACACTGCTCTCTTCCTTTCCTTTCCTTTCTTTTTCTCCTTCCTCTTTGTTCGCAGGGACCCGAGGGGGCGGATACAGCGCCGCACGAATTATGGGATTGGGATCGTAAAGCTGTCAGTCCTCCTTGCTTTCGCTCGCTGGCGCGACAAGACGTTCGCCGGTGATCGGCCACCTGTCATAGTCTATTTCATTTACACCCCTTACCATGTACTGTATGTACTGTGCTGTGCTGTGCTGTGCATGTGCGCCCAATTGAACACAGATTAACACCGTTGCATTGGGACGAGGGGTTATTTTTTGCCCTGCCATGTATTGAAGCCCAATGCAATGATGCATAATAGCCTGTCCGTTTTGTTTTCTTGTTGGGATGAGGATAACCTTGTAGTAATATAATACGTAGATTTATATATATATATATATATACATATGTGTGTGTGTGTGTGTGTGTGTGTGTGTGTGTGTGTGTGTGTACGTGGTGTGAGGTCAGTTGGGATGATTTGTTTTCGTTCGGCTTCGTAATTGATCTCCTTGGTTTTTGAAAAGGGCTTTCACGATAACCACATTACAAATGGGAAATGGGCTTTACACGCCATTTAGAGATAAGGAGATATGGTAGTTGAATATTGATCGCTAAACTGCATATTCTGTTACGGAGAACGCTAGACTCGTGAAATGGTAGATGGTGAGTGGTGGGTGAGTGGTGTCAACATAGCTAAGAATTCACCCTGAAAATCGGCAAGCATTTTGTTTTCAAACAGCAGAATTAAGGGAGACAATGTGAGCCCCCAGCATAAAATATATATATATATATATATAGAGAGAGATAGATCCCATTGGCTTGGGACACTAACATCTTGAGCTGGATTTCACAATTCACATCATCGTCATCATTATCATCAGAATTCTCTGGGCCCTTACCTCCGTCGCCCCTTATTTTGAGCACGCCCCACCCCGTTATTCGTAACGGGAGCGCCTCCAGTCTCACCGCCATTGCTAGCGCCTGTGTTATTGACTGGATCCTTCCAAGCACCAGGGCTTCTTCGCCGCATCGTTCCAGGACCCACAGCCACAATATCATCCTCGCTTTCACTTTCGCTGATATCGAGTAGGACAGGCATGCGGAAAGCATGCAAAGTACCCCCAGCGTCTCCCTCTTCACCCTTGACCGGATCAATGGTGCAAGACATCTGGTTCCTCGTCCTCTAGATCTAGACGGCGC